AAAAAAAAAACCAAACTCACCATCATCAACATTTCCAACTCATACCGACCTTCCTTGGGTTTCTGAGGCGGTAACTCTATGGAAGTAGATTGCCCAATCTTCCTTCCAAGGAGTGGCCGGTGGGTTTGAACCACCAGCCTTCTGCTTAGCAGTCAAATGCCTTAGGCACTATGTTACCAGGCCTTTTAAATAACCTGTAACATCCTAAAGGATGTGCATTTTTTCCCTTGTCCTAGACCTAAGTCTTACACCTGCACTCAAACTATACTGGCCTCTTATTTTGTTAACAACGACCCTATATACAGCAGAACGAAATACTACCCAGCCATGTGCCATCTTCACAATCCTTGTTATACTAGAGCCCATCGTTGCAGCCATTGTGTCAACCTGTCTTGTTGAGATCTTCCTCTTTTTGCTGACCCTTCACTTTACCAAGCATGATATCCTTCTTCAGGGAATGGTCCCTTCTGACAACATGACCAAAGTAGGGGAGATAAAGTCTGGCCATTCTTGCTTCCAAGGAGCATTCCAGCTACACTTCTTCCAAGACAGATTTGTTAGTTCTTCTGGCAGTCCATGGTACTTTCAGCACTCTCTGCCAACACCACTATTCAAATGCATCAACTCTTCAGTCTTCCTTATTCACTGTCCAGCTTTCACATGCATATGAGGTAACTGAAAATACCATGGCTTGGATTAGGTGTACCTTAGTCTTCAAAGAGACATCTTTGCTCTTCAACACTTTAAAGAGGTCTTTTGCAGCAGATTTGCCCAGTGCAATATAATGCTGATTTCTTGACTGCTCTTTCCATGGGTGTTGATCACGGATTCAAGTAAAATGAAATCCTTGACAACTTCAATCTTCTTTCCATTTATTATGATGTTGCTTATTGTTCCAGGTCTGAAGATTTTTGTTTAATGTTGAGTAGGGCTTTTCATAAAGTTTTCCAGTTACGTGTCAGACACTGTCTCACTGCTATCTATAAGGTTTTCACTTGCCAATTCTTTGAGAAATGGGTGGACTCTTCCTTCTTCCCAGTCTGTCTTGGTCTGGAAGCTCTGCTGAAACCTGTCGATCATGGGTGACCCTGCTGGTACTTGAAATACCAGTGGCATTGTCTCTAGCCTCACAACAACATGCAAGGCACCACAGTATGACAGTTATGTGTTTCGTTCTGTTGTACACAGGGTCTCTAAGAATCAGAGCCAACTTGATGGCACCGAGCAACAACATCATTTTGGTAATGAAAAAGGAAGAGGTCAACTATGAAATATTCTTACTCAAGATATTCACAGTGGCTCATTCGCTTACCTATTGCACATTTCTGCTTAATTAACCCCTATCAATGAAGCTGTTTCTGATTTCCCTATGTAAAATAGTATCTCCCTACAAATCAGCATTTCCTATTCCCCTGATTCTGATACTGATTTTATTTTTCTCATTGCCATATTTTCTGCATGCATTCCTCAATTATATATACAAAATTTCGCTCACTATCTGAAGCCACCTGCCCCCCCCACACACACACACACCTGCAATTTGAATGTAGTAAGCTCCATAAAGCCAGGGTCTTTGTCTTGCTCACTGTTGTTTCCCTGGTGCCGTTCTACACCAATGCTTAGAACACAGAAGGTCTCCCTTGTATGAGAGAGTAACAGAGTATCTTCCTACAAGCCACACTCCTAAGTAAAACAAAACATCTGCAAACTATTCTTACTTTAGAACTTTTGAAAACTCAACAAATGGATGCATAATGAATGCAAAGTAGAACATTTTTCTCTTCCCAAGTTAGTGTATACAAGTAGGAATTAATTACGATACAATTCTTTAAGATCATAAAAACACTAAATCAACTTTTATCTCAAAACTCACTTATGTCATTTGCTTCTAAATTTACTGACAGAACAGCTTATCAATGATTCCTGAAGACATATGACCTAATCATTAAGGCTATGCTATAACTCACTGCTGTCAAGTCAGATCATAGCGACCCTTCCTTGGGTTTGCGAGGCAGTATCACTACAGAAGTGGATTATCCAATTTTCTTTCTGAGGAGTGGCTGCTGGGTTTGAACCAGTTAGCAGTCAAATGCCTTAGGTACTATGCCACCAGAGCTCTTAAGGCTATGCTATACAGGATGATATTTTGTCTTCTTAAGCTTCCTTTTGAATTTTTTTGTTCAGCTCTTTTACTTCATCATTCCTTACATTCACTTTAGCCACTTTACATTCAAGAGCATGTTTCAGAGTCTCTTCTGACATTCATTTTGGCTTTTATTTCTTTCCTGTCTTTTTAATGATCTTTTGCTTTCTTCATGCATGATGTCTTTGATGTCATGTCACAACCAATCTGGTCTTTGGTCAACAGTGTTCAATGTGTCAGATCTATTCTTGAGATGGTCTCTAAATTCAGATAGGATAAACTCAAGTTTGTACTTTGGATCTTACAGACTTCTTTTAAATTTCTTCAGCTTCAACTTTAACTTGTATATGAGCAATAAACAGAGAGTCTGTTCCACAGTTGCCTCCTGGCCTTGTTATGACTGATGATA